TTGTTAGTAAAAAAGTATATGTGAATTTTAGTAGGTATTATGGATTTAAATTGGGACCCTAAATTTCAGCATCAGCCGCGACAATTATTTATATGTATAGCTAGATATATTTATTCCCGTGCATTACTGCATGGGTTTTTAGCTAGTGTTAATACTATTAGTTCTATTTGAATATTGTATCTATTATAAAATTTATACTATTCAGCTATTCTCGTTAGCTTATAGTTGAGAAGCCTACCTATTAATCTTTCAATATGAAATCTTTGAAGAAAATATTTTAACTTGCTTTATCATATAATTAAAAAATTGCTTTAGATCAGAGATAAGGCCAAACAAAATATATTGAAGTTTTAAGTTAATAAAAATTTTACCAGAATAAGAGATATAAGAAGATCAAATGAATATTCTAAAAAAAAAATAATTTAATATTACTATATGATATAATTGCTAGTAAGAGTTTTTTTGGAAAATTCTTACCAAAATAAAAAAAAAACATATTTTATATGGGTTGGTTAAAAGTTCCTAAACAGGCCTTTTTACTATCTTTGCTAATAATAAAAGTTTTTTATAAATCTACATTGTATTTGCAATATAACATTTAGTAATTAACAGAAAAATCCTATCTAGAACCTTACTTACTTGGATATGTAAATTATAAGCAAAGTTTAATAGTAGCAAAGATGGTAAAAGAGGGTTCTGTTTAGGGACTTTTAATCAATTTAGTATACTCTAAAGTTATACAAGATATATATAAGTTTAGACCTATAATAGCCAAATCTTGAATATACCTGTTAATATGTTGTTCAAAAATATTATAAACATAAAAATAATCCTAGTATTGTAGAAATTGTAATATGAAGAAAGAAGTATTAGATTTAAAAACTTCTTAAAAATTTGAGACCATATAGACATGCAAGACCATCAGATTATGTAATTCACATAATTTTAATTATATGCAGTATTCAATAAATCTTGCACTCTCCTTCATCAAGAATGAGAACTTCCCGCTCCCTTTAACTGTATAATAGTTTTCCAAATTTATTAACATTTTATCAATCGGTTAGTTGACAACTATAGTTGTAACTAACTGATTATGGGTATCACATGACCAAATTAATTGATTAGTTGTTTGGTTGGTTGTTTAGTTGGTTTGTTGCTAGACTGTATAACAAAAAAATATGTCTACATAATATTTTGTGATACTGAATAATAAGGTGTTATAAAATAAATGGCTTCTATTTATGGATAAATCATATCATAATGCAGAATCTATTTTTTAGGAAGAAATTAAGAAAATAACTTTTATTTTATTAACTTGATAGTAACCAACACAGGTTGGATCAATGAATATCAGGAGACAAGTTTCCTGATATGTACCCGATAGTCTGCCAAATACCTACAACATATTGGTAAGATATTGGGATGTAGACCGATATTAGCAACATAACAACAAAAAATTGGAATATCCCGATATCTTACTTTTAGACCCAGAGTGCCAAGAGTAAGATATCAGGGTATCTAATATTGTGCACTGATATCGATCCACCTCACGATATCTTACAGGTATTTGGCAGACTATCGAGTACCGGTATGCACCCGATATTCATTGATTCAATACAGTTTTCTCCTGAAGATCAATATTGTATATGATTTTAAATACATGAACATGTGTAAAGCTTCACCAATATACTGTATTTATTATTTAAGTTTATAATATGCAAAAGTTATATAATTATCTATATAAAATTTATATAAAATTTATACGTATAAAATTTACATCTAAATTTTACGTACGATATTTAAAGTCAATTATTATAAAACACACCTATGGTGTTTTACACCTATTATATATATTTTTTATATTTTTCTAAGTTTTATAAGTTTTGTATATAAAATTTTTAATACAAATTTTTTCATGTATTAAGATTAGATTAGAGTTTGGGAAGGGTTTTTAGGGCATAGAACATTTTTATTTAGAATACTTCATGCCAATTAATTAGCCAGTTTTTGAGAAAACATATACATAGGTGTAAAACACCATAGGTGCGTTTTAGTAAACTCCTTTAAAGTTAAAAGTTATAATATATAAAATTTATTAATATATAAATTTTTATAAATAAAAAATTTATTAATATATAAATTTTTATAATAAAAAATTTATTTAGATATTATGGCATATAAAAGTCACTTAATTATAATACATAAATTTTACAGATATATAACATTTATATAATTGAAATTATATTATTATAAGGTTAAACAAATTTTATAGTATTCTATATATATAGTTACTACATAAAGTTGTAGATCTATCTAGATTTTATAAATAATATACTTCGTGATGGTTTAAAAGAACTAAATATCGATCAAGAAAATTGTGGGTTTGTATCTAGGTCTGGTACCTAGTGAGTCTACTATTCGAGAAGTTCTTTTATATGATCATTTGAATTTGTTGTAATTTCTTTCTCTTGTAGCGCTTGTAGCCAATAAAAATTAAAAAACTATTCCGCCTATACCACTACCAATTCCAATTCCAATATACAAATTTTTTTGAGGAGAGGTTGGATCATCTGTTGGTGTTTCAGTTTTTGTTGCAATTTCATATTTTGTTGATGTAGATATATTAATTGAAGGAATTTGACTGGAGTTTGTCACAGTAGTAGGTTGAGGTGGAGTTGGACTGGAGCTTGTCAAACCAACAGATTTATTACACTGTAAAGCCCCGCACTCGGCGCAAGATTTACGATAACCAAAATCACAAATTTTGCCAGTAAGGCTACATTGATAGACGTGAGTATAGTTGCAGCCTGAATAAATCCAAAAATTGAAAGTGACAAAAAGTTCACGCACTGCAAATACAATTTAAAATCCATTATTTACCATATATTGTACCAAGTTCACCACCACAGTGTATATTATTATCAACACCAGTAGGGCACTTACAAGGTGTATTATAGTCACAGTCGTCTGCTGCGATTATAGAAATAAAGGCCAATAACAAAATAATGTAATAAGGTCTATGCATCATATTTGAGAAGATAGAATAGTTATTTTATTACCAAAGAAATAAGTAAGAAATGTGTAAGGAATGCAGATATAGATTAAATTGGATTTTATGTTGTTACCATTCAGGTTGGGAGAGCGACGTCAGTGCTTCGAGACATCTCGTTGTCCTCCCTAGGTCTAAAAGTCTGCCTTAAATACGTATATGATTATGGATAAACATTTAAGCATTTACATTCATATAACAGATCTTGAATAAATGCGTTTTCATACTAATAAATTACACATGATTATCACCGGGTTTACTAATTTCTCCACTTCCCATTGGACAAATACAAATACTGTTTTCCATTATTAAAATTTCCTTTTTTGAATTCTACCACCAATTACTGAATTATAGTTACATCACTGATCAAGGTGGTAAAACAATGAACCAGTGATCATCACATCTAGTGTAAAAAATTCGATGTGTGCATCACATGAATTTTCTTATTTTAATATGAAGCATGTGATCATATGAGTGCGCTTACACTGACCACATCACAGGGTTAGGTGATAATTTAGTTTAGGCCGATTTTGATATTGTAGTGCTAGCATGATTTCACGTGATGTGATGAACACTGGGTTTATCGTTCTATGTAGCGCCTTATAAATGTCGGGGATGATACCGAAATATGCTGCATTAAAAATTGAAAATTGATACATAATAAGTTATTGTCCGGAGCGTAGCGAAGGACATATAATGGATGAGTAAAGTGCATCAAAAGTTACGTTTTTGATGCATCAAAAGTTACGATGTTGATGCATGACAGTGATAAAAATTAAGAACATAACTTTGAAAAGGATGTCCGCACACGGACTAAAGTTACATTTTTGATGCAGGACTATATTCGATAATTTATTCACTCCGGACTTACAACAGTTTTTTAAACCTGTTTCCTAGTATACTAGGAACTGGAAACCAGTGGAAGCCTGGAGCATAAAATATCAATTATTATATAGGCCAATTCATAGCATTGCTGATATCTCTTGATCTACTGGCCTGATTAGGATGATTTAGCTACCAAAATGTTCGTCTTGATGAGACTATTCTAATAAGTGCAAAAGTGCTAAAACCTAATTGCAGAATTCCAAGAATGCTTAAGTTTTGTGCAATTTTAATAGTATTTTTTTTGAATTATTATGAAAATGTCTTTAATATTAAATAACTTTTAATCTACTGATCTGTTTTGAGTGGCTTAGCCACCAAAATGATTAAGCCCAAAATAATTTATCTCTAACCACAGAATCCTGAGATCATTAAGGATTAGAGAAATTTTAACAAAGATTTACAAAAATGATCAGAAAAAGAAAAAACAGAAAAGAAAAAGAAACACTGATTGTGAAAAAGAAAAAACATGAAAAGAAATCTAAAACCCTAAAGGCAGTTAATGTAGACAATTAACTGAGAAATAGTTTCATATATATATAACTTATTTCTCAATTAATTGTTTATATCATAGTAATTCTTAATAATCTCAGAATCCTATAATCAGAGATAAATGATTTTGGACTTATTAGAATTATTGCTTTGAGGTAATTATTTTAGTAGTTAAACCATTTAAAATTAGGGTGAGGGCATGAGGTTTATGGACATGCCTCCTTGTATATACCCCTGGGCAGTGTTAGATATCTAATGTTCTCAATATTCTCAAAAACATTTAAAAAAATTTGAAAACATTATATTTAAAAATTATGTTCTCTTTTGAGAACCAACTAAGAACATAAAATTTATAATTTATGTTCTTGTATAATATATAGAAAATATATAATTTCTCTTTTTTTTATTTTTATTTTTATTAAAAACACTAAAAAATTTATAAAAACATAAAATTATAAATTTATGTTCTCAAAATACAAAAAAATTTTTCAGATCTCTAACACTGCCTTTGGGCATGCCTTTAGACCAAAAGGCATGCTCTTGTTATATGATCACCTATATATGAATTTAGTAATGAAGGTATTTAAAAAATTTAAAATATATAAATTTATTTAATACTACATATTCTACTTAATATAATAACTATTCCTTTTATTGCTATAATAAACCTGATTTTCAAATAAACTGTTACATTACTCATATTTTAGCAATAACAGTCAATTTAAAAAAAATAACTGTAGGATTAAAATCAATATATAAATAAATAAATCATCTACTAATATATATATATTTAGTTTAGTTTTTTATAATAATTAAAAGATAATTGATAATAATAATAGGCCAAAATCAACAAATTACTAGCAAATTTGTGTTGCAGCTAATATATATACAAGCAATAGTATTGAAACAAAATATTATAAAATAGTTTAATTTAGAAGTTTAATATTTAAATTAATTCTATCGCATAATATAATTTTTACTTCTAAGCTAATATTCATATATATATTATCTGCAGCTACAAATTTACTACATAGCAATATCAATATGCAAGCCCAATGCTTTAGCATTCTTTATTTAGTTTACAAAAATATAACAAGACAAACCACAAAAGCACCCACACTGGTTGAAATTTTTTAATATAATAGGCTGATACAAAGGTGATTTATATAAAAACAAACATTATAAAATCAGGTATAAGATAA